GCATAGCTGCTACTCAACTATATTTAGCATATAATATTGTTTTAAAAATTTCTTTTCGATATTAGCTAGGTATAGAAATGTAGGCAGGCTAGCATTTAACTTGTATGCTTTTTGCATCCAAGAGATATTGTTTCTTTCGCAAATGTATATCTATCAATATACTAATAAATAAAAAAATGATGTTTACCTACCGGAAAAAAAAAAAAAAAAAAAATATAACTTAAAATTTATTTATAATCTTCTGATCTATAATAAAAATCCTTACATGTATCATACCTTAGCCCTTAATATATATATATAACTTAAAATATAGAGATTATAATAATATAATTTTATATATAAATGTTTTTTAAAATTTTATTTAAAATTTTATAATTTAATATATAAATTTTTTTTTTAAAGAAAATTTTTTTTAATAATTTTTAAATTTATTAAAGTTTTTTTTTTTATAATATTAATATATATATATATGATTTTATAACTTTATAAATTTAAAATTTAATTAAAAATTATATCTTTTTAATAAAAAATTTTTGTTATATATTGTAAAATTATTATTAAATTATTAATAAAATAATAATATTTTTTTATAAAATAATAAAAATATTTTTTTACTATTGAAAACTTTTTTTGTTAAGTTTTATTAAAAACTAGATAACTTAATATTAAGTTAAAAGAAAAATTTTTAAAAATATTTTAAAGTTTTATTAATATATAATTAATTAATTTATATATTGAAATAATTTAAATAATTTGTTATTGTATTTTTGTATGATAAAAAAATTTAAAAATTTAATTTGCTATCTTTTTTTAATAAGAATTTAATGTTATTATTTTAATATATTTAAAAAATTTTATTTATTTATTTTTATTCTTTATATTTTTAAATAAATATAGACATTATATATATGTATATTATTTTAATTAATTAATTATTAAATTATTAATAAATAATTTTAGATATTTTTTTTGTTTTAGTCTGTATATTGAAAAATATTAAATTTCAATTTAATAATAATAAAAATTTAAATAATGGTTTAATTAATTATATTTAGCAATAATAGATATTTAAATATTTAACAACTATAATAATTTTTATTTATTTTTTTAATAAAGTTTATAAACCAAGTTTTATTTTAATATTAACAAAAATTCATTTAAAAATTTTAAATAAAAATTTTTTATTAGATTATAAAAAATATTTATTTAAAGTTTTATATAATCAAATATTATTTATTAAATTATATTAAAAAAATGTTATCCAAAAACTTTGTAATAATTTGTATTTATTATTATATATGTAATAATATAAATCATTTATTTTTTATTACGCCTTAAAGAAATTACTATTCCAAGCTTTTCAATTAAAAATTAATTTGATAACCATTTTCATCAATGAGAGATTTGCTAATTAATACCTTTTTAATAATATCTTTGTTAATGCATGTATATATTTAGCGCATCCATTAAAAAAAAGCTATTGTCATATCCTGAAGCATGACCACAGAAGCTCATTTTTTATTTATCTGACGTGTTAATGAGTGCAAGCACGTATTTTTTACACTTACACATTACGGGTTACGAGAGCGGATTTTTTTTTTCCAAGGACCATTGTACGTTATATAATAATGGGGACAACGTGGTTTAATAATTAACCATGCACTATTTCTATCTTCTAAAATTAGCAGCGGAAATTAAAGAACAATATGTCATGACTCAAATTGTTCCCTTATCTTCGGTACTGGACAGCAATAATGCACCAAATACATGATGATAAGCTTTTCCCGGCCGAGATAAAACGCGATTGTAAAAAATAGATTGTTCTTGTTATGCCACATGATCCCGCGTATATGTGGTTTTTGGTTATGCTAGCTATATGTGGGTATTTATTTTCGAAGTAAACAGGGATTTTTGGACCTATAATTGTGATCCTAAGAATTTTTTACTATATACTGTACGTATTATTTAAAAGACAGGGTCGAAAAATCCTATTTAGCATTTTGTCGCCTCCAAAGATAGTTGCCCATCTCTATATTTATTCTTTATTTATAATTTATAAAAGGTTCATAGTCAAAAAAATAGTAAAGGATTACAGCCTTCAAAAAAATTATGTCTGGTAGATTAATAATCCAAGTACGCTCAGATGCACCTCGAATCTATAGAAGGTTGGCTAGATATATTAACCAACCCATTCAGTCGTTGGCACTTCAGTTATATTATATTCATCGTCGGATAAGAGGAGACGACATCTTACAACTAAGCGTCCGTAGAATTGCTGCTAATCGTGAGTCTTCATATATACGCCTATCGACTCGTTACATTTGGCTACGCCTTTTAAACCGAAATCAAAAAAGAATCTACGCGGAAATTGCGAGACAGGTTAACATGTCTAGATTAACGATGCCAGCGAGGTCTAGAAGAAATCGAGTAAGAACACTAAGAACACCTTTAGAACAAAATCAAGCAACCGTTCTAAGAAATTCTTTTCTCGCTGAACCACCACAGAATCAAATGGCCCAAGACCAGGACGAAAGAGAAATTTTGAATTCGGATCTATTTAACGGATCCCCACAACAATTCTGTTTTTTTGGATCCACGCCCTCTCAATGAACAATTTTGCATCACATTTTTTATTTTTTTAATATCAAATTACAATACTTAATAATCAACATATTATTTATAATTTATGAAGTACGTGTATTGAGATTTCCACCCCGTTTACTGTTTCTTTGCGAACCCTTTCAAAAGTTCCTTTTTACATTACTGATTTAAGAAAATTTTTTATAAGCAAGTTTAAAAGAGAGTTGCACTTACGGTATTACATGAAACTTGATAAGCTACCATATACATGCCGAAATACCTTAATTGACTTGTAATTTTTATAAGGGTTGAACTTAATTACAATCGTTACAGTCAACTTCCCATTCTCACACCAGAAGTCAGTATATCTTCGTCGCAGACAATATGATAATTTTGGAAAAATAGAAATGCATCCCCACAATCACCCCGCAATCACCCCGCAAAAAATATAAAAAATGTACCATCAAAGTATCCACTTTAATCATTTAGTTGGACACCATAAATAGAGATTGCATTTTGGGCACATGTTTCATTATTAAATTCCCATTTCTAGTATAGTTGTAAAATTTATGTATCATAAAGACTTTAAGTACAGTATATTATTTTTTAAAAATAATAAGCACTATTAATTTATTCATGAATTTAATATCAATTTAAACTATGAATTCGTAGCAGTAGTAAAGTATGTATTGACATTTCCGAGCGATGCCTGAATAAATCAAATGGTTCAAAAAAAATATCATTCTTCTTGAAACGATCATTAATCATATGCGAACACTTTGCGTGTAATGAAGCATTTAAAAAAGTGCTTGCTTAAAACTGATATTTTTACTTGATAAATTGGATTGATTAATAGTCTAAGTCAAGCTTTATTTTATTTTCTATCTTTTGCTCTAATATTCTTGATAATTATATTCAATTGCATAATTCTTTATTCCCATTATTCTATTTTTTTTTATTAATAAAAGTAATTTTTGTATATTAAGTAAACATATTTCTTATAATGAATTTTACTTGTAATAAATTTCTATTAAATTTAAATAAAATTTATTACTATTTTAACAATTTGAATAAAAATTATATATATTTATTTTTTTTATAAAAAATCTTAATATTTTATTTTATTTGTTTTTTTTTATAACCTTGTTTTTTAACAAATACTTATTAATTAATAAATTTTGTTAAAATAATTATAAAATTCTTTTTAATTTAATAAAATTTATATTTTTTTTTTAACAAATAATAATATTTAATTGTTATTATAATCAAATAAAAATAACATATACTGTATATATATATTGTTATTAGAGCTTCTAACAATATCATTTAGATATCAGTTTAATACTTAAATTTACTATAAATTCATATAATTAAATTACAATCCATATATTAAATTTACTATAGATCAATACTTTCAAAGTCCTAATTATTATTATAAATTATAATAAGACAATTTTATTTGACTTATATTATATAATAATATAGTGAGTTTTGTTTTTAAAATATATATATATATTTGGCAAAGTTATTAAAGATACAAATTTATTTATTAATCATATATTTATTTTATATTTTTTAATTATATAATATTTTAAAAATTTATTAAAAATAATAATCCTTATTGGTTATTTATAGGGTTTTAATTAATTTTAATATTAATTTTGATATGAAAATACCAAACTGAAAATTTTGATATTGTATTTATTAATTTTAACATTGAAAAAAAATTTTTTTCTGTAAATAAACATTATTTCTTTATTTAATTTGTATAATATTAAATACAGTATAGAACAAAAAAAATAGCACTTTTTATTTTTGTTATTATTTAATAAATATTTATTTAAATTAAATAAAAATAAAAATTT